ATTTCAACAACATATTCAAGAAGTGGTTTAACCAGACGCGGATACTTAAAAAGTTCAAGGAAGTTTTAGAAAATATGAAATCACAAAATGGTACCAATATTATAAGCATCAAAACGAGTTTTTTTTTTTTTTTTTTTTTTTTTTTTTTTTTTTTTTTTTTAATACACTTTATGCAACCATTTTCCAAGATAAATTAAAGACCAGGCTTTTTGACACCATGGACATCTGCATTTTCAATGAAAGTGGAACTTGTAAATTTACCTACCTTGTCATTGGTCATCTGCAAAATAATTTTTTACAAACACTGATTTTACACATAAGTACTCCGAGGTTTATATTTCTGATGACAATATCTAATACATGTATGTAGTATGTAGTTTTCGGTGATCAGGTCTTCCAACAATTTTCTTGGAATTGCTATAGGTACTTAATGCATTCGTTATAAGCAGACCTGTTTTTATAGTCATATGAAGCAGAAATTATTTAAAAAACTTATTCATGAAAAGAAGTCTCTTCACAAGTATGTTAAGGCAGTACCCAGATCCTTTTTTGGCGAATTTAGACTTTTTTCGTAAAATTTAATATTGATAAATCGAAAAAGCAATAAATAAAACATTTACTGTTATTATCCATTGTGTAGACGTCATTGAGTCCTATGCTAAAAGAAGCACTCCACTACGACGTCATCACGTGACATCTATAAATAGAAAGCTTGCCTTAACTAAAAAGTGAAACGTTCAACACTACCCCGGGGATAATTCATTTTTTTTTTTTGGTGTGTGAAAATAATTATGTAAAAACATCACTTGGTCATGAAAAGTGCTGCTAGAATCCTACTCTTCCGACAAAGAAAAAAATTATTCCAAAGTTTCGCATGAAACCTCATCAAAATTTTTACATTCTGTACATACGATCAAGGAATTGTCATCAATTCATGTTAACCACACGATTCTAGCAGTACTTTCCAAGTATTATAGAATACAAGCTTTCGATATAAACAAAAAATTATGTTTCAAAGTATGCGGCGTAGTGATGAACGTTTGCATTTTTGTTATTATAGAACGACAGAGCTCGAGGAAAGGCTAATCGGGATTTCAAAACAGTTCTGCGTTCATTTTAAGAAAACATGATAAAAATAATTTAGCAAACCTGATTCTTAATCTTTAATTCTTTATAAATGACACTTGACATTCACGGTATATGCTTTAAAACTCCCATTTCATATATTTGTTTATATGAATTCTCGTCACGTAAGTTTCACATGCAAATATTTGATCAATAGTTATGAAATCATAGGTTTAGTATTTAACCCCTGCAATAAATACTTAGCTATTTATACCACCCAAAAACGACAAGATTTAGTTTATATTATGTTTTTGAATGATTTAAATTATTTATTGGACCTGAAATTAAACTTTAAATACAGATATGAAGAAATCATTATCGCTAAAGTTCACGTCATAAAGCTTACTATGACGTCATATTATATAGGCATGTAGGGTATCTGGGCGTAGCCTTAACATACCCGCGTTGCTGTGGCAACTAAAATTTATGATAAACGTGATGTATTCAATTTTTGTATCGTTAACTTCCGTCATTTATGTAGCAATATACAAACTGTACCACAATCATCCACATATGCAGTTTATCTCTCCATATATAATATATATATAGTATATATATATATAATATATAGCTATTGACAAATGAGTTGATGATATAGATATGAACAGTTTCTTTTAAAGTCAACATTTTACAAATTTAATGGTCGCTACAATGATCTTGTTAGCAAGTACAATTTATTGTAAATAGAATGTTGAATGACTTTTTTCAAACAAATTGTTAGGTCTTTATTTAATTTCACACTAAATTGTCTTTTCGTTTACCCGATCATAACAAGGAGCACACGACGGGTGTGACCGCTTGACAGGGGATGCTTACTTTACCATGTAAATAATATACGGTACCAATTTTGATGCACCAGATGCGCAATTCGACAAATTATGTCTCTTCAGTGATGCTCAAGTCGAAACATGGGAAATCCGAAATATTTATATCAATAAAAAAAAAAAAAAACTTTGAAGAGCTCAATAAAGGAGGTGCCAAAGACTGGAGTCGAAGGATCAGAGCTATGCATGAGGGAGATAATCCTTAATTTTGAAATAAATCTCTAAATTTTACCGCTAGCACCGAACCATGGCATGTGATACCTCCTCTGATGTTTTTAGAGGTCCATGTTTAGTCCGTGTTTACTCTGCTTTTGAATAATTTTAGCATAGTGTGATGCCTGCAGACAGTACAATAGGTTTAGTTTTTGTACCTTAGGCAAATAAAAAAAGAAAAAGATAATAAACGTATGTACAATTTCTAAAACGAGGTAAATTATTGACAAACAAGTTGATGAAAAAAGAATATCAGCTATCTCGTTTAAAGTCATTATTTCGTAAGTTCTATGGTCGATACAATGACCTTGTCAGCAAATACAATTTATCATTGAGTCAAATGCTGACTGACGTTTTTCATACTAATTGTTAGGCCATTATTTACACCCTGAATTGTCGACGGATTTTTCCGTTATTTCCCGATCATGACAAGGAGCACACGGCGGGTATGACCGGTCGGCAGGGGATGCTCACTCCTCCATGGCACCTGATCCCGCCTCTGATGTTTAGAGGTCCGTGTTTGCTCTGCTCCTATTTTGTATTGTTTAATGGACTTTTGAGCTTGAATACTGTTCGTTATCTCCATATATTTCATTTTAAAAGAAACATAAAATATTTAAGATTATATTTCTATGAATTAAGATATATAGTTTTGTTCCTTGGAATTCTGCTCATATTCATAAACAGCGTTTAAAATCGTTAAATTTATTTATTTTTTATTCATTTTAAATACAATGGGTATATTAAAATACTAAATAAGACAAAATGTATGCAGAATTTCAAATTATCAATTTGTTCAAGCCCCCCCCCCCCCATATTTTTTTCGTGTACAGGTATCTGAAAACATTTTTTTTTTGGTAAGATTGCAGAAATATTCATAAATAGATGTGCAAATCTTTGTTTCCTTGGGTGGATCTGTATAAATTCAAGTGGAACTTGTGCTTATAAGATATCTGTGTATCACAGGATTTCTTTGAACTTCGGTCTCAGGGTGTAACATTATCAAAATTATAAAGGCGGAAAATAACATCTGAATAAGGATGTTTTTCGAAATTAAACACTTTGTTTTTAAGAGCATACCATCATAGGTGTATTTTATAAGTGTTCCAATGAATAAAATTCAATGTAAAAATATTTGAGCGAGTAAAAGAATAAATAAAAGTGTAGCTTTATTGGTATTAGTATCTCCCATTAAAGTATTGTTAGTATAGAAATAAGCTGTCCACAGGGGCTAATTAACCATAATTTGTTTTGTCTACTAGCTAGGAAAAAATACATTAAAGTGGTGAATTAATACAATCTTTTTTCGTAATACAATGGATATAAATACGCAGATAGGCTTCTTTTTATCAAAAAAGTTTTTTCTAACATGAAAACAGCCCAAGTTACAATTAGCCCAATGAATGAAAGATAAAATACATTTGTTTTGAATTTCGATAAAATATGAATTTATTATGAGTAAAAATTAAAGCAAGACAATTAAGAAGTGCTTTTGAATCGTCTTTAAATAAAACTATATTGATTAGAATTTAAATGATTTATTATATTTACTGGAATTTATTTTAAAATATAATAAATTACTAACTTTTTACCCTAATTTTTACACTTTTCTATTCGAAATAAAATGTACACTATTAATGCCAAAAAAATAAAGATTCTTTCATGTATAGTTTTTCCACAGAATATATTGATTTATAAATAAACTGAGGTGTCAATTTTTTTAACTGAAAAAGCGAAGACATTTGTGCATCCAAACAATTTTACAAAAATAAGATATCGCAGTTCTAAAAATGTTTCTGTTGACTTAATTATATTGGTATCGTGGTTTAAAAATTCTTGCCACTGGAAAGTTTTATATGATAGATTGTGTATACACTTTGCCTGTTTGAATTGCAGTTCCCCATAGTCATAAAGTTGCATTCATATGAACTGGATAAATTGCATGTTATACATTTGTAGGGGAGTGATGAGTGTAAAAGTTCCTTCCGTTCTTCAGTTCTAAGTTTTGATTTTGGAGGTATGGACAGGTACCTTATTTTGAATTTAGTTATTCTTTGACATACTCGATCATGCAGGTTCTCTTTCTATGCAAAAATCCCCACCGTTTCCTTTGAGGGTGTTTTGTTTTCCGCTTTGAAACTTTTTTCCTGGACCATTTGCTCATGAAATATATGGACTAACAGTCTTTCTGAATTTTCTGAACCCGATCAACTCAAAAGGCTCACGGCAAGAGTGACCGGTCTATAGAGGATGCTAGACTGGTTCCCTGGCTCATCCTTGCCAAGCCTAGTGTCTCGGAGTATAAGAGGCATAACAGGGACAGGGAACCAGGCTATAGAGGATGCTTACTCCTCCATGGCACCTAACGCCATGTTTTCAGAATATGATTTTGCTCTGCTCTCAATTCGAAATGATTAATTGCTATTATGAGCATAGTCACTGATGGTTTTCTTCAGCTTTTACTAACTTGTACAATTGAATTGATTTGATAGGTTAACCTGCTTTGCAATCCATGAAGTCAATTTCTTTTTATATATAATCGTATTTATAAAATTATAGAATGCATTTGGTTGGATCCTAGATCTCTAGTTAGAGATTGTAGATTTAAAATGATATATCAGAGAAAACTTACAATACTTGTCGTTAGTACAAATTTACAGCGGTGAGAGCAAAAATATAAACAAATCTAACACTGGTATATCTCTGTATCCGTCTCATAGTAATATAATTCTTTTTCCAATCTTGATAAACACGCCCCCTAATTTACATGATTGCTATATATGATAAGAAAGCAATGACTGCACTTGATGATCAGTTATTTTTGGGGTAAAGAGCAAAATGGATGTAACAAACCTCCCGTTGTTGGTTAACACATTTGTTTATTTTGTTATTTTTGTTTGTGGATTTGCGATTTCCATACCATTAGGAGTTTCACGTGTAAGTATCCATTTCAGATAATTTACAAGGTAAAGTGTGCAGTAAATTCCGTTAAACGTGTAAAGCTGAAATATATTCATTTATAGATGAATTCAAATTCAAGCCTATATAATTTAGTTGTTGTAATTCCATGTTGCTAAGATTTCGATTGCAAGGGATGCAATTCGCAATGGTGTTAATTTCACGCTAAAGACCTGTGTTTTGCGACAAGTACTTTACTGTATGATCTGATGCCTCTATTCACATATTAATTTTACGGAGACAAGTATTGAAGACAGTGAAAATAAAACTATTGTATTCATTTTACAATCTATAGTATTTGGTATACTGCTGAGGAACAGTTGCAATTTTCTTTACAGAGTCATACTCACGTTCCCTATGCTTAGGATATAAAATTTGCAACTTCTGAATTTTTTTTCAGAATACCTTGTTTATCTTTTTTTTATCTTAAATTTTGGGTCTTCTTTTCATCTGTGTCCTATGTCCCATTTTCTGCTTGAGATTCTTAAATCTTGTCTTCTACATATCAGTTGTTCATGATGAAGTTTTAGAATCTTTCTAAGCTAAAATTTAATTTTTCCCCCACAAATTTCAAGATTGGACCTAAATTTTTATTGTGATGTTTCTTTTCATACAAATTCACATTTGGCTGTTATAAATAATGAAAAGTGTGAAGATAAGGAACAGGGATTAATCACACAAATCCAGTAAAACATACAATTCGTAAACAAGGACAAAAGCAGGGATCCCTGGAAACATCAGAGGTGGGATTAGGTGCCTAGGATGAGTATACATCCCCAGTCGACCGGATACGCCCGCGTAAGTCCTCTGTGTTAATCAGGGATTATATCCCTGACTAATGAAAGCCTTTATCTGCTCCTAAGAATTCTATGAAAAAATTTAAAAAGGCTTACAAATAGTGTACAAACATAAAAACACCGATTCGATATACTGGCATGTAAAGTTTTTTTTAAAGTAGTGCATAATAAATCCCATTTACTTCTTTTGAACTTGTCAAGACATCCAGCTCCTAGCTTTAACGTACCCCATTCTTATTATTTCATTGTATTCTTTTTACAGATTAATTCAGAGGGTTGTTTGCTATACGCCACGCTCAAACCTCCCGGCTCAAGTAATTATATGTATTTTTTGGTATTTAGCAACGAATCCAACTGTGAATTTCCGATCTTTAGTGGTGTAATATTTTGCATCCTTTACGCACTTGGGATGGCGATTTACAACTCATGTACCATTTATAAATCCCAGAAGGACCCATCCATTGCGTGAGTCTCTCTCTCTCTCTCTCCCCCCCCTCTCTCTCTCTCTCTCTCAACTTTAAGGAGAACTAAATTTTTTATTTAAGTGTCTTTCAAATTTTGTTTTTTTAAAACTATGATTTCACAATATGGAAACTGATATAAATTGTAAATCATTTTATTGTTTTTATAGAGAAAAATATATGTAATATAAATAAAAATATATACTAGTATATATATAAATTATATATTTTGTTTGCAGATGCGGCACTTAAATGATTAAAAATGTTCATTATATTTTAAATATCTAATGTAAAACAAATATGAAGAAAATTCAAACGGATTCAATTTTTGTTTACTTATTTTTATAAAAAGAAAAACAAATAAACAATAACTTTAAACGCGACTGTTAATATTCTTGTAACATTATCCTTTTTGTTAATAGCTTGCCTCGTTTTAGAACGTGTTCATACTAAGTATGTAAAACATATTCTTGCGTATCGAATCAACTGGGAGACAGAAATTCCATTTGCATGTGAAAATGGTATATTGCTACAAATATATTAATAAGGGAGGTTGACGATAGAAAAGATGAAATAAAATTCTCGCTTAGTATTCCCTCCTAAAGAATATTTCATTTCAATCTGTCAGTCTCTTATACAGACTAACATGAGTCATATATGTCAGCTTCACACGAGTTTTCAGTAGTACATGTATCTTTTACGGGGTTCAAGTCGTGGGTGAAGTCATTTTTATGCTGTTTTAAGACAACTATTTTAGTTCCCAAATGTATATATACGAGGGCTGATACATGTGTGACATTTGATATGGATTTCAGTATGTAATATTCTATTTATCATATATTTAAAATACTTAAGAGTCATTCTCTGTAAGCATCAAAATGGGCTGGAAATAGACTCTCACCGATTTTGTTCAAACTTGGTGACATAATTACACTATAAGCCCATTTTAAAAAAATAGTATTGCAATTGATCAATTGGCATTGTTTCCATGGCAACAGGTAACCTATGTTTGCACATATGTGGGAAATAACAACAAAGGTCATTTCACCACATTAATATTTATTTGATGAATTTAAATGACTGTTATTAATTTTTATCTTTAAAATTATTTGTGAATTTATTTTCTAAACAAGAAAACTGCAAAAAAAAGTTTTGGACCTGCCAAGAAATGCAAGGTAATGTCAAAAAATGCTACTAAAAAGGTGGGGAAAACATAACAGTGTACCTAAAAAACGCAGGCACTAGTGGAATATTTTGATGCTCCTAATTTTACCCTTAACAATTATTAAAAACATATCAAAAAATGGGAGTGGTAATATTTGATTTAAGAAAATAAATCAATTGTAAAGTTTGTAAAAATCTCTGAAATTACATACTTTTTCACCAAGAGTTGTTTCCCTTTTCGGAAATCTTCAGCCAAATTTCAAGAAAATGAAAGTGAAAGTAGAGAGCAGAACATGATTCAGAGGAGTTAATTTTGTCTGTTTTGGATATTTTCAGTCATTTTAAACCTACTTTGTATAGTATTTCGTATTACTGGAAGTTAAATGTTTGGTCAGGCCTTGCTGTGCCTGAGAAATAAATGTGTTTGGTCGTGAAAAGCCTGAAAATGGATTTCACCTTACTGAAATTCCAAGTGTGACACGTACCGATGCACTGCATGAACAATAGAAGCATTGGACACAAAATGTTTATAAGAAAGCAACATCAGTTACATGGATTCCAGAGCTACAATTAAGTTGCGTTTGGTGATAAGGCCGTGATGTTGATTTGAAAGATACCTGGCAGTAATAAGATTACTAGGCAAGTATCAAAGTACAAAAACCTGTAAAAATTATTTACCTTTGTCAATATTTACTCTTAACTCATGCGTTTGTGAATTATAAGTAAATTAATTAATAACAGTGTATGGATATCTATAAGAAAGAAAAAGCAAAGTATCAAAAAAAAAACATCAATGGCATTTGAATTCAATTGTTTAAAAAAAATAATTAATAAGGCCTAATCGTGTTGATGAAAGTTTTCAACCTGCATATAATAATTTAATATATATATCTGACTGTTGCTGAAAATTATGTTATCCATACAGCATATATGATAAAATCTACATTGGTTTTAAAGTTACATCAAATTTTAGTGTGTGTTTGCATAAAGGGGGAGGAGGCGCGGTTAACAATATATTATAGTTACTGTCTTGCATTCATTCAATCATTGACTGTTTTTACATGTTGATCCAGGTAGAATGTAAACACATGTAAAATCATCACATTGCTAAACAAAACACAACATTGCAGGTTTTGTAGGTTTCAGTGTGTTCAGGGCTTAATTTTGTTTGTTTGTATGGATTTTTTTTTGGAGGGGGGGGGGGTAGTGTCATGTGCTATTTCATTTAAGAACTAATTATATAAAATTAGAAAAAAAACTTTTCAATTTGTTTTATCATCTCTAATTACATTATATAATTGCAACTACGTAAGAAAGTTTAAAATATAGAAAGAAATTTTCATTATTAAAACAGTACTACTTCACACTTAATAGAATTCTGTAATTAATGAGATATCCTTATAAAATTTGATATAAAGAATCAAAATATAAATTTTTGTATCTCGGTAATGCAAAAGCTGAAATGTTCATTTTAACTTCAAATAATCTTGTGTATAGAGCAGGGCCTGGGAAGGGGCCGCGCCATGCGCCATATGCGCATACTGTCAAAAAATGGCGCAATGAAATAATGGTGCGCAGCGCCATGCGGCGCGCCCCGCAAAATGCGGGTATGCATGATTTATTACTTTGTAAGTTCATCGCAGTCCGCGCTATCAATATTCTTCACCGAAGTTAGATGGAATCTGTGATGTATTTTATAATAAAATCGGAACCATCATTCGGCATATTCACATCCACTGGCAAAGAAACAGGGTTTTTTTCATGTCGTTCGATTCGTAAGTGTCAAGTCGTTTTCGATAGTTGACCACAGCTTTACGAAAGTCAAGCACATGGAAAATTTATATACCTTACAATGATAAACCTTTTCAACGAAGTCCACTTATTTTGGCCTGTCCCGTGATCTCTAAATCGGCATAGTTAAAAAATGGTGCTTTTGGTTTAAATGTAATTTTTCTAAATGCTAGTTGGTTAGAATCTAGATGACGATTGTCTGAAGTTCTTAGAAACGGAAAAATCATTTGCACTTATCTAGTCAATGTCATATGACTTGTCAATTCCTATCGCATTTTTCTTTTTAATTTTCTTATATTTTGTTGTCAGAGATATATGCATTATCATATAGCATCATACTATGATTTATTTTAGAATGGCCCAAATATATTTCCCCTCGGCCCCTTAAATTTCAAAATGGCCCCAGCATTTTATGAACAGTGGGGCCATTGGCCCCACCTGTTGCTTGACCTTCCCAGGCACTGATAGAGTGTAGTGGAGATTTGCTTTTGTTTAAAATATGGAAAAGAAAGGGGTGTGTGATTGAAGCTATATTTTTATATAATTAAATTGATGCATGCAGTTGTCAATGTTTGCTGCATTATTTGCATTTAATGGCTCTGGGTTTTTGTTGTTGTTGTTGTTGTTTTTTTTTTTTTTTTGCTTTTTTTTAAGTGTTTATGTATGTAAATGCTAATTGATGTATATGTGTTGTTTTTTTTAGGGAACAGTGCACAAAATTGCTGGAATACTCATTTGGAACTGAGAAATTTATGCTTAATATGGTGAATTTACAGAGAAATAATCAAAACCGAGAAAAATTTGCAATGACATTATGCGATTGCACAAGTGAAATCATCTAAAATGCAGAATCCGGACAGATGAAAAGAGAGATTTTTTTTTTATATTGAAGATTCACAAAATAATTTTTTTTCATGAAATTATGCAACCATTGTTGACAATAAGCATAACAGGGATGCTACTTGATGCCTAATTAGAAGTGAAGGATTGTTTTAGTCGTATTATTTTATAGTAAATACATATTTGTTAAAAAGTACCCTCTAGTTCATGAGAGTAATTTTTCATTAAAGTCAGAATTTCATATTGTTCTGTTTCTTGTTTCTTGGCATGCCAGCAAGAATATGTAGTTTTTTTAACATAACTTTGATAATTTTAACTAAGGCCAAAAAAAAATAATTAGTCTTGTTTCCCGCTACCTGTCTGGCCTTTTTTTGCGCCCAATGCTAAAGTTTTAGTTTTGGAAGAAAAAAATAGGGAATTTCATCATTCTATCACCGTAATTGGTTTCCGTGTTAACACAAAACAAGCATTTCATGAAATTCTATGTTTCAAAATGGACTTTCAAAATATACCACTTGAGTTGTGCATCAAAAGACATGAAATTTAATTTTAAAAGACAATATTGACCTGTGACATGTTTAATTTGATCTTGTATTAGTTCCTATCCAAAAAAAAAAGCTGTCGGAAAAAAGTAAAATAATTTTCCTACCTATTTTTTTCCGGCTGGTAGCAGGAAACAAGACTATCATTTTTTTGGCCTAAAATCAAAATACATGTACAATGTGTCTCTAACAAGACTACTAGTTTGTTATTATAATTAAAAAAAAGAGAAGCTCCTTGACTCAAAAATTTATTCTTATAAATAAAATGGTTCTTGATTTAGTTTACTCATGTACCAAGTGATATTGAAGTCTGACTAAACCTACAGGGAGGATAGTTTCAGACCTGCCTACCCTTCCGCTTTTGACGTAATTCTTCCGCTTTTTACCATAAAATTACGCTGTTACGCCATGGAAATTTAATTTTACGCTTTTAAATATTTTTCCTAGACAAGTAAATGAAAGGCTAACTTGGGAGTTAAAGTAAAAAAAAAACAAAACTATTGAATGATATGTGCAATAAGTAAAGTCAGTTTTAATTTTCAATTCAGTTTATTCTTACATTGCTTTAGAAGAACATAGAGACAAGTAAATGTAGGGAAAACGAAATAGCGCGATAATGCAGAATTTGTTTTAACATGGAAATAAAACTCTAAATTTTGTGATTTTCTAGAAATTTTCCTAAAGTTCATTAGGCATGTAAGTAAAATAAGTTTGATACGACTGCATTTAGGATACCAGTTTTACAACACATGGACTTTTTGTCAATAAATGATTTGAAAAAGAAACATTCATGCTTGCTTTGTTCAACGATGTATAACCGTCACGGTAGCTCAGTCAGTAGAGCGCTCGCTCCGTGATCGGAATGTCGTGAGTTCGCATCTCGGCCGCGACTGAACTAAATCGATAAAAATAGGTAGCAACTGTTCCTTCGCCAAGCGCTCCGCGCTTTGAAGTGAAAGTTGCGGGTCTTTCGGGTGAGACCTTAAAAACCGAGGCCCCATGTTACGGTAGGCTATTACACGATGAAGAACCCTCACTGCTCAATAGCCCTAAGTGCCGAGTAAAGGTCTATATTTGAAGCCCTTTAGCGGTATATGGTGACGTCTCTATATTAGTGAAAATATAGTATCATCCAAAACATCAAACTAGGGAAACATAAAGGATTACACCTTCACCTCTGAAATTCTGCCAAAATGAGTATTGAAATTACACCCTCGCAATGAAAAGGGTAGGCAGGTCTGTAGTTTCTGGCCAGTAGAAAAATTGATCAAGTTAGGTCAAAGTCAGGAATAATGATTTCAGAGTCGTACATTAGCATGGTTGAAGTTCTGTCTTCAAGTTGTATGAAATTCAAGGTAGCAAGGTCAATGCAAAATAAGGTCAAGGTCAATGTCAGAGTCAATGAGTACAATCAACATCAGGAAATGTAATAGCAATGCAGTGAAAAGGGAGGGTCAACATCACAAAATTTAGAAATGTTTGAATTGTGATTACCAAAATTAATCAGTGTTTGATGATAGACAATTATATCTTCAACAGTTTCTTTTTACATGAGCAAAAATGTAAACTGATGGAGGGCAGAAAGGAGAATGGAACAACAAAGATGAAGATGACAAATTATATAACTTGTCATGTGCATTTTTGGTTGTTCCATTCTCCTTTCTGCCTTCCATCCAACCATATTTTGTATTGCAAAATATGAGGCACATAAAATTGACTTTCAAGGGGGGGGGGGGGGTTACTGCAAAAACGGATGGGAAAGGGAATTTCCATTGAATTTTATATGGACAGTTATTGCTTATACATCCATTTATTGTTTGTTTCCATGGAAACAACATAGTGCAAAACCACTCCTGTTGCAGTAATTTTGATATATTTGTATTTTAGTAAGTGTTCTTCTGTGTATGTGAGGGTAAGTGCGTGATTAGAAGTTGATCAAGCACTGAGTCTCTAGTTTTGTATTTTGATAATATCAATATAATAGGGACTGTTCCTGAACTATGATAATGTGGTTGCCAAAGCAACTGTTTTTTTAATGAATTTCTATTTTATTTTTATTTTATTTTTCTATTTTAATGCAACTGAAATGACAAGGTTAATTAGCATGATTTATTTTATTGAAGAAGAAACATAACATTCAACGATGTGTACATTGATAATATCAATAATAATAGGGATTGTTCCTGAACTATTTGGTTGCCATAGCAACTGGTTTTTTTAATTATGAATTGTAATGAAGTGAAATGATAAAGTTGATTAATTTGATTTATTTATTGATTCAGAAGAAGAAATATAATGCAATGTGGCTATGGTTATTTTATATTGTTAATATCAATAATTATTTGAATAGTTCCTGAACTATTTGGTTGCCATAGCAACATGGTATTTTTTTTTAAATTTCAGATTTCTATTTTGTTTAAATGTTGAGTGAAATGAAAAGGTAAATTAAAGAGTTATTTTTTCATTAAGGATTTAATGAAAGCAGATATGTACAAAAAACCAGTCAAATATAGATTCTACAAATTAATCCAAATTCTCCATAGCAACCATTTTTGTTTTCATTTTATTTTATTTTAAGAAATATTACCACTCTAGAAATTTTATATTTTGTTTAGTATGGAATGAACTTTTACATGATGGTGGTCATTTGCTATGGAGTGCCTGCATTTTTTTGCTATTTTTTGTAGAAAATGCCCAAAATCTGCATTTTTCAAAATTTGTTAAATTTGTAAAAATTGACACTTTTCATTGAAAGATCATTCATTTATGACCAACTACTGAATTAATACACTAATTGCGGTAGTTACTCCTATAAATAATACATCAGAATAGGTAACTGTCAATCCTGTATGAAATGTGTAGAAAATAAAAAAATAAGATGAAGTTGGTATAATTTTAGTAGAATGCTGCTCGTTTATGAGCTAAAAATGGCGGTTTCGGTAACCATGGCAACCGGTACTCAAATTTGTCTGTTGACCCCAAATATGATCTATACATGGCGTTTCTACATTACATGCAAAATATCAGCCAAATCTGTGATGTACCATTTCCAACCTTTTTCTAAATTCTTTGATGCTTACAGAGAATGACTCTTAATATGCGACTTCACATTAAGTCATTGAAGAATGTTTCGTGCATTTTTATGACCTTTTTCTTAAAAATCTTATAGAGCCAATTTTAGGTCTTTGAAAACATATTAAGTCCACAAATGTTTGTAAAGTACTATTTTACAGGTATATCGTTATACATGTACTCGTATTTAAATAAAATCAAGTTAACTTTTAAACTTTATACAAACCTTACTTCCGGTTTCATATGGATTTTCGCGCGCCGGACAGATACTTGATATGGATTTTCGCGCGCCGGACAGATACTTGATATGGATTTTCGCGCGCCGGACAGATACTTGATATGGATTTTCGCGCGCCGGACAGATACTTGATATGGATTTTCGGACTGGTCCTTTATATAGGTTACTTTGACGTCAGCCGTAACTCACAGTGCAGAATCGCTGTATTTACTACTAAGTATATGATAAGACCATTTTTTGGGCCTCAGGCCATCATTAAAAATATCTTTGTTTCCCCTAACCCGACCCTAAAATTCCAAGTTGAGTAGGTAGGTAGGTAAATTATTATTTTTTTTCTGACAGCAGTTTTGAAAATACATTCTGAAAATTGAATAATATCTGTATAAATAAGAAAGAACAAAAGAAACCGATTTTTAAACCGAATATCATACAAATGAAATAAACATGTATGGCAAATTAACTCACAAATATTATTCATTTGAACTTAATTTTAATTTTATTGAAATTGAATTTTTACAAAAAGACAAGATTCGCAAATACTCAACCATCGGCCATCCGAGTATATTTTTTTAAAACCTACTATCATCTTCGAGTGCTTACACAGATAAAATGTCAAGGGCCTCACGTGGTACAGTAATTCTAGTGTTTCGTTTTGGAGTCACGACGTAATTCAGGAGCTTATTCTAAGTCACAGGTCCCGACGTGGGGCGTGGAAGCTGGTCAGTCAAATGAGACCGTAAAAAACGTAGGGCCGTGCAGTGTCACAGTATACATGTAGATGTTGGCACGATAAAGATCCCTTACTGATGCCTTACATGTTTGATCAATGACCATTAGTGCCGAGAAAAAGTCTAAATTAGGAGCCCTCCACCAGGCAGGTGTTCAAATGTTGTCGACCCAGCAATTTTTAAAGGTATTTTAAAGCAAAGAAACAACCTATTTTCAAGGGCCCAACTAAAGAAAAGAAAAAATAAAAAATACACGACGTCTCAGGAACCCGTACCATAAGCCAACTTAAAAGATTTCAACACTATTTGAAAAGAGAGTACCTGTATAGACAATACTTAATTCAACCAAACGATATCTAAAGTGATTAAAGTTTCATATATCTAATGATATAGTCACGAAGTTTACCCCATAAATAAAAGAAATGAAGAAAGACATCCGAATTTTATTTATCAAGATGAAATAATTATACAAAGATATATTTACAAATCCTATGATCCTATATAGTGAAAAATAGAATGAAGTGTTTTTAGATCAAAACGAATGAAATGCAGTGAAATATATTGATATGCATACACAAAGTGAGCCCCTCATCTGCTCGTGAGGCAGGCTTTGTCATGCTAACTATGTACGTTAATTTTGGAAGACACATTTGTAAATACCATCTTAACACTCCTTAGTCATGGTATATTTAATTCACGAAATGTTTCAAGAGTGTAGGATTCTAATAAGTTAAAGATGTATATTAAGATTGATATATCGCCGTTGTTTATAACACTAAATAATCCTCTGTGGCCACATGTTGTGGGTGCCAAATGGGAGTAAAACAAAAGTCGCCATTCTGATAAAAAACGAATTTTGATGAAATTGTATTTTATAAAGTTGATAAACAATAAAAATAAATATTTGAACAATCTTATTAAAAAAACTTTTCAGTCGGCACGATTTAAGTGGGTCGGTCGCGTTAGGGGAAACAAACCTATTTTTTATTTTGGCCTCAGATATTTTTTTTATGGTCTCAGATGGGGTAAATGTCATTTAGCATGGATAAATGAAACCTTACTTTGTTCTAGGGTCAGAGACATGGTTCATCCTTTTTATGATTCTGTATTAAAACCCTATTTTATATTTAGGTCCAAGATGTGTGTGATCCCATTTATAATGCTTAACTCATTGGTGACAATTATTATGCTTGTCGCCTCCTGCATGATCAGTGTTGGTTTTAAAGAGATTTGTGACTCTATGACGAAAGGAAAATACGAATACTTTCCCAGGTAAGAGTAAATCTCTCTCTCTCTCTCTCTCTCTCTCTCTCTCTCTCTCTGAATCCAATGGAGTAAGATTTGATTTAACCGATATTTTATTCAAGAGAATATGTATTAATATTAATATTAAAGCATCCCTAACAAAAAACTACTATAAATAATAGGGATGTCAAATCGGTCAATATTTGATAATCGGTTACTCGGACAGTTTTCCGATCGAGTACCCGGGTACTCGGAAAAGTGCATACACATGTAAAAGATTGTTGATTTCATTGAGACATGTTTACTCCATCGATGTTTTCTTTCATTTATAATGCATGTTGCATGTACATAAACATCGGGCCCAATGAAAACGAGTTTTGGTACTTATTTTATTTATCAAACAAATGCAAAAGACATGATCAAATAATATATATACATGTATAATAAAAAATGCTTTACAGTTCTTGTTTAGGAAGACAATGTGATCAACGGAAGAGAAGGACGCAACTTTGTAATGATTAAACTAGCGAAGGAATGGGCGTTGTCGTGATCGCGAGTTGTATATTATTTACATTTTCAAATGTTTCTCTGTGATAGCTCTGAAAGTTAAGTATGTTGATCTCTCGATATTAACAACTTTGCCCGTTATGCATAAATATTCCACATTTTCAACTGCCGTTGATATCCTGACATACCCAATAAACTAAAAAGTGATTCCTTATCCTATGCACGGGTGACTTTCAATATTTTTCTAATCTTCGGTTATTTTTAAATATATCTTCACTTTTGAATTGGTAGTGGTATTGCTATATACACTGTATGTCCGATTTCGCTACCATATTCTAATTAAATAATCTGAGGATAATTAATGGATCAGAATTAAACAATGTTTATTGAAAACAAATAATTGAAACCATCTAAAAATTAGGGCTACAAGAGGTGAGGACAATTGTTTACAGTGTCCAGTGATTGATCACGGTAATTACTGTATATACATGTACACAGCCACAGGCGATAACGGGTATTACGTGGTGTAGGTAATTACTGTAAAGACATGGCCAATGCATATTTAAATCACAATTTTTGATGTCGTTAATAAATATATGCACTTCGAAATCTGAAAAAATCTATATGCGAGTAACCGAGTACCGATTTTAGTATTCGATACTCGGACGTTCGATCGAGTACCCGGTTAACCGGGTACTCGTTGACATCCCTAATAAATAACTATAGTTTACTATAGTATCAAAGTTTTTTCACCATAGTAAATCAAAGTATTTTTACTATGGATTTCAGAGCGTTATATATTTTGTTCTTCAATTCATACCTGCAAATTTTTTATATTAAATTGAAATATTATTTGTATATTCACACATTATTTCCAAAAATTTACATTACTGTTATCGAATTTTAGAGATTTTAAGCTTTGAAATCTCAAAAAAAGTTCCAGAGTAAAGTTTTATAGTAAATCAAAGTGTCAAAGTTTTCACTATAGTTAACTATAGTAAATTTTTGTTAGGGATATTAGAGTCATTAAGATAATAAGGTGCTTTATTTTGCACGATTAGATGTCCGGATTATAGCAAGGCAAGACTGTGTAGAAGGCTAAATCTATTTTCTCTTCCAAACAAAGACGTAGGGAGGCTAACCCGTCCATCTTTTATACGGTGCTAACTAGGAATCTATATTTTTCAGTTGTATAGAGGCAGAAAACCAGAAGCTTGTGATACCGATAACAAAGAAAATAAGTTCTACAGGGCGCTTCTATACCTTGATAAATGTTTCTCAGGTAATCCAGCCTACTAAACAGTACTGACTAAATCAGATTTTAAAGAATTGGCTTTCCTAGTAATATGTTGAGAAAGAGATTGATGATAAATTAACAACAATACAGAACATCAGCATTTCTGTTGTCAACTCCCTTATTTATGTAGTAGTATCTTTATCACCTGCTTAAGGTGTTTATGTCAGCCAAAATATTCAATACGCAAGAGCATGAACAATTTCTAAGCCGATGCCGGCTATCAACAAATAACTGTTCCTGAAACAACCTTAAGGGTATAAAAAATCTCGTTTAATTAAACAGGAAATGTGAAGAAAACGAACAGTAATAATGCTGAAAATCAACTAAAGAACTCCGAAATTGTAAGTAAAGGTAACATGGACAACTGAAAACATCAGAGGTCGGATCTGGTGCTATTGGAGAAGTAAGCATCGCCTGTCGACCGGACACACACGCCATGTTCCCTTTGTTATGATCGGGTACTAGTATACTGAAGAATCCATAGTCAAATCAATTTGAAAGTGGTGGCCTTACAATTTGTATAAAAGACGTCAGTCAACATTCGACCCAACGACATATTAAATTTGAAAGCAGCGTCATTGTTTCGACCATACATTGTGCAAAATGTTGACTATAAAAAAGTTAAGATACCCTTTCCTTCTTTAAAATTGTTGTACGAAAAACATGCTCATGCCAATCGTATTTGAATATATAAGAGAAGTGCAGGCGCGGATCCAGGATTTTTTTTATTTGGGGGGGGGGGGGGTTGGACACCCCAGTCATACAATTTCCAACTCAGAAATTTATTGACAAGCAAATAAAAACTGCTTTCTTAAATAAATGTATCAAACCCGTTATATTGTACCTTGCATTGCCTACTTTGTATAAATTGCAATGAAGCCTGGTAAATACCTCACATGTGTGGGTAAAATAAAGTTCTCATGAAATATATACTATGGAAGTCAAATTCAGACTTGCCCCAGCACTTAAGGACAAATTTAAAAAAAAATGTTTTCAGCTGGGGACTAAAATGAAGGGATGCATGTGCATTTAATCCAGTCTGCTTTAATTAGTTTTTTTTAATATTAAAAGTAAAACAATTGTGAGTATCTGTTGCTATGTATTTTTTAAATCCCCCCTTTCTGTTAACTAAAATGACTAGATTTACCCGTGTCTTTACCTACACGCAACTTAACAAAAACGACTGGTACGTTAGTCAACTTAATATTACTAGATGAACAAAAAAGAAGCACTTTGCTTGAGATTAAACAGCCTTGAGTTTTATTTTCAATATTTAACCGAGTATCATTTTTTGTGAATAACAATAATGAAGTTGCTCCAAAATGTTTTTTTCTCTCTTCTATTTCAGACTGCATCATGGATTTGTACCATTTGCTGGCTGATTCTGGTTCTCTCTGGAATTATCCAGTTTGTACTCAATAGGCGCCTGGAAACTCGGGAAAGTGCGGAATCCGATACAGGTAACAGAGCTCTCATAGGACCGACGAAGTGGTGAAGAATCAACGACATGTATGCATGTACATTATCACATACGACAAAAACTTAAAAAAAAAACAACACTAAATAAAAGTCATAATCCCATGAAGTCATACTTTGAGACATCCATTGAATGAGTACATTATTATAACTCACAGCTAAAAGGAAAACTTTTATTTTTACAAGTACTAACTTAAATGTATTGTTGGCAGAACTCCAACTAATATGCGTGTCATAAGTTCTTGACCCTTGTAGGTATAGACAGGCCCACATTTGGAATTAAGGTATTTTTACATCTCTGATCAGCTGATTTATAAATACATCTTGTACATATATTACTCAAATACTTATTTATTTACTATTCATTTTTTTTTCTTTTATTTTTCTTCACTTTTTTTTTATTATTTTTACTACTATAATTATATCTATTATCCAAGGAGGGCAAGTGTACATTTTTAATTGAAAGTTTATTTAAGGAAACGGATTAATATAAGTTTGTAAAAACACGTTACCTAATCCTGTGTGTACTTTTTATTGTGTATATTTTTGATGTTTTATTGAGATGAAATAAAATTTAAACTAAATATAGGGTAATTTTTGCATCCATATTTTATAAGTGAGCATGAAAGTATTATCTGTTCTTTACTGTGACATAAATGAAAGGTGAAATTGTCTCTGTCATTTACTATAAAAGTAAATTTCAAGATTGAGATCAAGATGTTCATAAATGGACTTTTGCGAGAAGCGCCGACTTTTACAGTTGACGGCTTACTATGACATTGAAACCTGCATTATGTACGTAGGTACGGAATTGATAATAGATAAGAAAACATTAATATTGGTTGTAGGTATGTTGTTATAGGCGCGAACATGATTTACCGGTATACAATCAACACAAGGGATGATGGGAGGCCGAATAACGTAACTTAAAATGCGTTATTCGTGAGGAATAGTATCTCCTTTCAATTTCATTTGCTGAAGAAATTAAATAAAGAAGAAAAAACATTCCGAAAGGAAAACTTGGCAGGAATTGGTCAAGCTGGAAAGGGAGGGGGTTGAGGATAGGGTAGCTGCAGTTCCCTTCCTAGACAACGTAATATGTGCTTTGAACAGCCCATTAGTTCGTTTTAATTAATTGTTCAGCTAAATATTTTTATCGCAAAGGAGCTTCCGTATATTGTCCTAGTGTAAAAGTAAGCCGGCGACTGTAAAAGTCAGCGCTTTTCGCAAAAGTCCTATTAGAGTATTCTCACAGATTTTCTTCAACGTAATACTTTTGACTTACAAGTTTGGGTTCCAGATTGAATCAATTATTTTGTCCATGGTATACCAGCACTCATCTTTGACAGCGAGTGGCCAATAAAACGTGCTAATTTTTAAATTTCTTCCTACTCTGTGCATGCATGTGGCATATACTTTTTCTTCATCACAATCAATCATTTTGCCGGGATAGGGCTTTACAATTTACAATTAATTTACAAGCACACACTTATTATCGAAATCTGATAGTAATGCATAATTTGGATCGAAATCGAGAATATCCTTTTCGTCAATATTTGCAGTGTCTGTTCTCTCATGTACTTCATCTTCTGCTTCGCTTGATTTTGTTTCCTCCTTTGTCAGGTCTCCTCTTTTTAGATTGCTAGCACTTTCTCCGTGACTATGTTCCGCATATTTCTCACTCATATTGCCATCAAACGATGCTTTTCAATGCTTTTTGACATGTCCTGTTCACTTCATCTTTTGCTTCGAATACCTCTTCTTTTTCTCTTTATTTTACATCTCTGCATTTCACTACAATATGTATCAACTAACAAACCTGGACGTCCAGATATCCATTCCATTCCTGTTACTGTCATTTCCTTCTCTTGATTCCTGATCCGTCTCTTTTCTTTCTTGGTGGTCCACTGAAACCAAGTAGTTTCTACGGTATAGCCAGTTTCTGTTTGAAGATGAATTCGAACATCCTTGCATTTTGGGCATCTTTCATACATACAGTCAATTGGATTACTGTTACATGTATGCATGTTTACTATTTCCTGCAATCTTTTTGAGGGAAGATATTTCAAATGGTGAAGTGAATCTAGGAAAAATTGCATGGTTTCGTGTAGCTTGTAAACATATGTACCTATCTGAATTTTTGGGTTGGTTAACCCAAAAAGATGCAATCTAAGGTCAAATAATTTATCATTATATCAGAATTATCAAGTAAGAATTTTTCACGAATCCTTTCGATACTATCTGTTATAAATCTCCCCTGTCTTTTAATTCCTTTCTTAGTTAGTGTTTCCTTTATTTCTGCTGTAATTAAATGTTTTGGGTTACAGCAAAGACATGGCAATAGTTTATATATATTATATATTATGCAAGGAATATCATAGCTTCACATCCTTTGCACGTATTACACAGGCAGTCTAGTGAAAAGCGACATGTATTGTTGGCACTGAAGTGCATGATTTTAACATGTTGATATAATGAAGTGTACCAAAGGCTTCGTTTTTTGAGGTTGGTAGTTAAAGGGAAAAATACATTTTCAAGGAAATAAAAAAAAAAACCCAAATCGATATATTTATTTTTCAAGACGTATATTTTAATATACAGTTATACATGTATATTCATTATCATTCATTCAATTCATTTTTAAATTTAAAAAATGTTATTAAACCCCTTCAAACATTTGAAATCTGTAAAAGAAATATTTCTAGTAAGTGACACGCGATAAAACGTATGCAGACTATTCTCTTCTGAAGGTTTTCATCAAACATACCAATTTGCAGCTATAACGGGTATCAATGGGTGTGCGAACATCTGTTTCCGTAGGTGAATGTTGGAATTGATGTCAATTCTTTTGTAAGGCTTTGACTGTATAAGCGCTTATAATGATATCTATTAACATCCTAATGTCTAGAACACTCACAGAATTGAACTTTATCCCAGGACTTCCGCGTACTTTGGTCACAGGATGTAACAGTATCAAAATTTTTGGTACTCGGAAAAAGAATTTCTGAATGAAGTTGTTTCTTGATACAAAGAGGATGCTTAACAGCATTTTACAAAACTCGTGCTCAGAACGGAAGGGGTGGGGGTCTGAGATTCTCAGAGTAAATTTATTTAGTAAAATAACCAGAAATTGACCATATACCACCTACTTTGAAAAAACTCAATCCTTTGTTTCTCAACCCCTGTTCCTTTGAACACCTCAATCTAAATTGACATTGGGAATTGTTTTAAGAACATTTTCACTTCTAGAATACTGTACAACAACCTATTCGAGAAGTGGTTAAATCAAGGAAATTTTAGAAAGTTTGAAATCACTAAATTTCACCCAAATCAATAGCATCAAAACTTAAGACTTGTCTACACTTTATACAAACATTCAAAGAAACAAACACAAATTAAAGATCAGGCTTTTTGAAATCATAAACAACTATTTTTTCAATAAAAATGGAATTCGTAAATATACTTACCTATTCATTGATCATCTGCATTAGTCTTATAAAGCATAATTATTTCAAAAACTGCTACACGAAAAGAAGAGTTCTCTTGCTGTGATAATGATAATGATGAATGTGATGAATTCAACTTTTCTATCGTTAACTTCCCTTATTTATATGACAATTTACCACAATCACCGGCATATAGGATATATGTCTCCCATTTGATTCGAACTTTTCCTTATTTATGTAGTAATATCCCACTATCACCAACATATATTGCTTACATCTCCCAACGTATTGGATACTCAAGAGCGTGCTTTTTTAAATAGAGGCAGGCTACTGACAGATAAGTTGATGTTAAAGGGAATTTTACAACCTCGTTTAAAGTCAGGATTTTGTAAATTCTATGGTCGTTATAATGACTTTCTGTAGCTAGCAAATATGACCTATCATTGGGTCGTAGTTTGGCTGACATGTTTCACACCAATTATTAGGCCTTTGTTTTTATACTGAATTTGACTACGGAAAGTTCCGTCTACCTGATCAATACATATATAGGCTCACAGTGGGTGTGACCGGTCAACAGGGGATGCTTACTCCTTCTATGCACCTGTTCCCACCTATGGGATTTTCAGGAATCTATGTTTTATGCCCTCTTCACAGATTTGTATTGCTTATAGTTTTTTTTTTTTTTTTTAGATTATCTGTTCGTTATCTTCAACTTTTTCATTTCATATGCAAGAGCATGTTCTACGTACGAACAATTTCTAAAAAGAAGCAAGCTATTGACAAATAAGTTGATGATACAAGAATATGAAAAGTTTTGATTCGCAAATTCAATTGTCGCTACAATGACCTTGTTAGCAAATACAATCTATTGTAAGTCGAATTTTGAATGAAATTTTTCATACACTGAATTGTCTACGGATTTTTCCGCGTTCGCCCGATCATGACAATGAGCACAAGGTGGGTGCTTACTCAAAATAAATAGAGTTTAATTAAGAAATAAGGTATCATTTTTAAACTTCTATCGTGTTGGTCACGAGATCAAGTTCCAAAGGGCTTTATGGTAAATTTGATCTCGTACCAACCCGTATTTATATGTATATCCCGATAGATGTTTTAAAATGATACCTTATTACTTATATTTACATTTGTGATTTATTTTTTTAATATTTGCCTGATCAAAATCTTTAACGCGTGAAATGTTTTATTTTTCAATCTCAACGGCACGTGTTTGATCCATTGAGTGCGCTTCGACCCTTTATGACGTCACTGAGAAATTATGTCGAATATTTATGACGTGAGGAACCCGTGTTTATACCGGTATAAATACGCATTGCTTTTAATAGTGTTATATAAAAGAAAACATTGGCAAATGTAAATATATGGACTTTCGAGTATGATTATAGTTTGTTATCTTCTTATTTCATGAAGGAAATCTTCTTGTACATCTCAGCCCTCTCCTAACAAAAAAGGTTCTTCCAGTCTGGAAAAGATTTTAGATTTTTTATTTTAAATTTGCTATAGTAAAAAAATTCTGAGTATCCATTTTTGGTGAATGTGAAACCCCCTCCCCATG